GATTGCCTATTGTGGACCCTTCAAGGTCTTGTATTCAGATGGAGAAGGCGCCCTAAACAATGACACTGCCAAGGCCATGATGTCGAACAAGGGTGCGACGCTTCGTATCCGAGCGCCTGGCCAACGCGCGACCTCGATCGAGTCACGCAACGGTATTCTTAGGGGTACTCTCCATACGATTGAGGAAGAGCTGATTGGCTGAAGGCATCTTCGTCACCAACGCCTTCACGTTTTACGACGGAGTATCGCCATGCCAAGCACACGCTGGGCGACAGCCCTCCTTTCTTCCTGACCTTGACACCCTTGACTTCCCTAAGGGGCCCGAGACGTCAAGTCACGAATGAGAACGCCGTGCGAGGGCAGTTGGCCTGGAAGCAATAACTCAAGCCACGGCGGTAGCTAAGACAAATCGTGCTCTAAGGGCTAAAACGGCCCCAGATGGTGCTCGCCTTTACTCAGCAGGGGACTTGGTCGACTATCACCGACCTACTGCCACTAAGGACGATCGTGGAGGCTGGAATGGCCCGTTTCCCGTGATCCGTAACGTGCCTGAACGAGGACACGTCGTCGTCAAGGCAGGATCACGTGAGGTAATTGTAATGCATCCTGATGCTCGTCACGCGCTATCCATTGAATGCTTCTTTATCAGGGAACTTGGCATGCGCAACATGGCCATGCAAACCGTCCTCACATATGTGGCACACCTTGGTGCAGGGAAACCTGCCACAGTCTTTGGCTATATTCCAGACTACAAGGGAAACCTCAATCTTTCGGACGACAGCAAGTTCCACCCGCGCGTACGTCTTGCACTACAGTATCTCGTGCGAAATTATTCCCGAGTTGAACGTGTAGTAGCAGTTAGTTTGGCCAAGAGTGTATCTAATCTACCTGCAGTAAAGTACGCCACCGGGTCTACACTGATCCACTACGATAACGATGTCAGCCCAGCCTTCCATTATTATGAGTGTGTGGGCACCGGCCTGAACATCTCTCAAATCACTGGTAGCACTCATTCCAGACTCATCCAGCGCTTGACGTCACACGTTCCTTCCCTAGGATTTCATGACGACCTTGCCAAGTATCAGCACTTGGGCACAACGTCTGGGGAACACGACCAGCCTGGAGACAGGCCTCCACCAGACACCCCAGGTGCTTCATCACCAAGTGAAGGTCGCCTGTCTACAATCTACGAAGAAAACGAGGAACATGACATCGAAGCCATGATGATGGAGGAATGGTACGATGAGTTACGTATGGACCTTCATCCCACAACGGTTACCGACGATCATCTCTACCGCGTCCCAACTGCTATGCTGCCCGACCAATGTGTTCTGGTCTCAGCATCCGTGGACGAAGAAGATATCGTAGTGTCGGAAATGCTCGGAGACGAGCCTGAACCACAAGAGCCCTGTCTTATCTCTCTATGCTCAACTACACCTGACGAGGGCTATTCTCTTGACAGTGATGAACCTGGTCCTTATGTTGAGTTATGTTTTACACCAGAAATGTCAAAGGTAGTGTTTGATCAGACCCAACTTGCACAGCTCGAAACTGACATGGTCGCAACGATGAGAGTATACGTACCATCGGCTGCTAAACGTGCTGTGGTAGTCAAGGAAAACGACCTACTCACCAAAGCCGACATAGCAGCACACCCTAAAGAGGTTAGTGAAACTTTGTACACCGAACTCAAGATCTGGCTTGATAACCGGTGCTTTGACATGTATGACCTCCAGATATGTATGCAAGTGGAAGTTTGTGAAGGTAGGCACCGAGAACGTTAAAACCATCCGTCTCAGACTTGTCCTTCGTGGATTTATGGACACGGAGGCGTTCGATGTAGACACCAACTCAGGAACTGCTCGAAGGCAGTGAGGCGACATGCCATCCATAATGAATCTTAGCATCCATGGATATCGATAAAGCGTTCCTCAAAGGTTTGACCTATGAGGAACTTGCTCGTGCCACCGGCGAGGAAACTCGCATGGTTTGCTTCACTTTTCCACCAGGAAGCGCCCAGGTGTCTCGTACACTGCCAGGCTTCTCTTCTTACGATGAAAGCCGACACTGCCTCGGGTGCCTCAAGCCAGGGACGGGTGCAAAGGACGCCCCAAGAGCGTTCCCCATCAAGCTTCGCACGACCACACGAGCTATAGGCCTCACACCGACAAGTTATGACCCTGAGATTGAATTCGGTCAAGACCTGTTAACAGCTGAACATGTCGACGACATCGGCATGACAGGCCTAGAGAAAATGTAGATGACTATGTACAACGTGTCGAAAAAGTGCTTGGTAAATGCAAGCTCAAGAAACATTCTTTTTCGAACTGCGCTTGCTACGCCAAGAATGACCGAGGGGATGTGATCATGGATCAGGACGAGTACATTAAACATCTACGTCCCATCACACACCCCGAACTTACGGGAGCGGCGGCTGACGCCAAAGCTACCAAACTCATCACCGACGTGATCGTCAGCCTGCGAGGAGCTCTCGCCTATGCCCTTCTTACTCAAGTCTGGCTTATGGTGTATATGGTCTTTCTCCAGAAGATTCAAGAGCCCGCCAACTTACAAGTCAGACGACTAAATGCTGTGACGCGAAAGCTGATCAGCAGCCCGAAACGCATCACCTTCCTTCGGATGAAACCGACGAACGAAGTAGATATACACAGTGAATCGGGGTATCGGAAGCTCACCGGGGAGGAAGACGATGATATTAACGGCTACGGCATACGTGGAGCGAACGTATTACGGCGAGGAAACTCGCCTCAAGGCAAATCAGTCATCCACCTATGCGACGGACTATGTAAATCACACCGATTGCAGGTGAGGCCCAGTTATGCCGTTGAGGCACTTGCAGCGGCACACAACCTTGATGATTGTTACCCTACGCTCATCACTCTCCACGAGCTCAAGGCAGGGGCCCTGGCTCCACGACAACTACGAGATATGCGTGAAGTTGGAGGCCTAGCTATTACAGTATCCCTTACCATAGACGCTGAGTCTGTATACAAATCGCTATCCAGCAAAGATCTTAAGATACCGACGGAACGGACGTTGCTGGGACATATCAGCTGGATACGTGAGCTCATGGATATAGGTATAGCGCATAATGTGCAGTGGTGTGATACTAGAGACATGACCGCAGGTGGGCATACAAAGGGGAGTATCGATCGGGAGCTGCTTTTGGAGGTGATGTCAGGCACTCAGTCATTTAAGTATGATGTGAAGGAGTGTGTTCCCTTTCGGGGTCCTGAGGACAGAAACAAGCCTAAGTCAAATCAGTTTTAGTGTGTCCTTGTTGCCCCCGCGGTCCAGTTTGCCAGCATGGGCGCCTAATACAGAGGCGCCCTCCTAGTTGCTCGGAAACGAGCCTTACTTTTCACGCTTGGTAACGAGCCTGTCCAGATTGATTCAGGCTCTGTGTTTTAATACCCTCTTGCTCGGAGAGGTATAGCCTGTTTGGCTTACCTCTAGCCGGGCCGATAGCCCTTTGATGTCCAAGGGGCTATCTCGCGCATGCGTGAAATGCTTTGCGAGGAAACTCGCCTTACAGTCTAGTGTTAGGCCAGACTGTGCGCGCTGTTTTTCTTGCAAACAGTCGTGCGCGCGGCCTTTGTAGAGCCTAGCGGCTGCGCGGCTATACTCACCGTCTCCTCCCCTTCCCGACTTTAAGGGTAGCTCTTTGGGAGATGTGATATAGGATCGGGAGTATAGCTCGCGCGCCGTTGCCTTTGGCTCAAAAGGCACGCGCGCCCGATTTGCCCGGACACTGCTTGCGTTCGCCACGTGCTGGAAAGATCACTACATCGATCTTATCCTATCTTATCCGTCCATTCCCCTTACTGAACCACCACAGTGCGGCACCGGACGCTATTTGCCATCCGCTTCCCATGGAATCGGATGCGATTTGACTTACCATAGTCACTTCAGACTGCGCGATCGTTCGCCCGTGCGTCCCGTGCGCCTCGCGATGAGCTGCTTTGCTAGCATCTGGGTTTGGGGTTTTGGGTGACGTAAGTTCGATGCCTACCTTTTCGCACATCACGTGTCGCTTCGTTTGCTTGCAGCGCGGTGCTCGCCCAAGAGGCCTGCGTCCGCTCGACCGTTTCTCTGTCTTCGGTCGCGATTGCGGAAACGTTCGCACAGGTTTTTCGCCACGCTCGGCCTTCGAGGCCCGTCGACGGGAGCAGGTACAGTCAAGCAACAGTCAGGGATGAAGTATATTCAAAGGCACCCTGATGTTTCCTAATCTCTTGACTTTCGCACCATGTGCCCCCCTGGCCTGTTTGCGCGCGGACTCCTCGGAGGAGTCCTGCGTCAGCGTGGCCTATGGTCTGGTCTCCGTCTGCGACTGCGTACAACCCAGGGCGTTTGCGGTAGCTCGCTCCTCGGGAATTTGAGGACCCCTTCAGGCCATGGTTCGAGGATTGAGTTTCCCATCGGGTTTGGGATGTCTTTACCCTTCTTGGACATCTGCGGTCCGTCAGGGACCTCCAGAGACTTCAGAAGACCTCTGAAATCCATTCGAGACTTTGGGATACCTCGGGAATCTCATTCGAAAGCTGGCAATGGTCGCCGTTTGTTCTGCACCAAGCCGCCCAGCCCCAGAAGCACGTTTCCTTGCTCCCTCCTTCTTTCCTTCATGTTCGCGTGCGGTGCCGTGATCGCCTCCCTTTCTGCGCGCCCCGCTTTACCAAACCCGTGGGGGAAACAAAAACACGCGTGGCTATTGACAGAAAGGGGCGAAGCGCATGGTTTCCGGAGCGAGGCGAGTCTTGCTATCCCCTCCTCGTCCCTGCCCACCCAGTCCCGTCGCTTCTTGCGTGTGTCTACCAGGCCCCACGCCCCGTTCCTATATCAGGTGTGTACACCACAGGGACCAGGTCAAGTGTTGCACGCACATCCATTCAGGTCCGCACTCGATTCGGCTCAAGCCATTTGGGTTCCGTTCGTTGTTGATGCCGATGAATTTGCCACCGTTGTGAGTGGCATTGGAAATGAGACCCGTTATTCAACATCGCTTTATATCCAGGGCTGTGCCTTCTGTCTCCGGGACCCAGGCTGAGGCCACATTGTGGTTTTCCCTCGTTGCACGGATTGTCTGGCTGCAGCGCGGAAATCTTGGGCGATACGCCTGCCCGCTCCTTCCTTTCTCTTCCTCACTTCTGGCATTTCCCCTCTCCCCCGACTCGGCTCCTCTTCTTGCTCCTCTGCAGCTTCCATGTCTTCTCCCTGGAGGCACGGGAGGCACCGTGGCTTCCGCCTCCAACGGGCGCGAACAAGAGCACGGTGTGGAGGCGCCGGGCATCGGCGCAGGGATAAACCCCCGCCCCCGCCCCCCAACAATTCGGAGGAGGACGACGACGAGGACACGAGCACAGAGGGGGGAACGAACGACAAAGCGAACGGGGGAGAGGACAGGAACACAGGGCGGCGCGCTGCCTCGCGCGCCCGTGCGCCAGCCTCCCTGCTGGTGCGCGGCTGGGCGGGAGGAGCGAGGGGAGGGGACAGGCGCGAGCGAGCCGGGAGGGGGAACGGCGGGGGAGGCGGGCGGGAGGGCTGCGCCGTGCAGCACAGGCCCCGAGGGGCCCCGCGCACCGGCGTCCGCCTGCGGGCGGGCGGGCGCAGCCGTCACCAGATCGAAGCGGAGGGGTCCGGGGTGGGCAGGGCCCCCACCCCTGGCACGTCCACTCGTGAATTCTGCTGTTGTGGTTCTCGAGAGGGCGCCTCGGCCGTCCTTTTCCAGGCCTGCGCCCGCCAGGTTGGGGCCCGAGGTTGTTTTCATTGAGCCACGTTTTGCTAAAGGGGGTCCTGTCCATCCCCGAGGGAAGAGGAGCAGGAGGATGAGGAGGAGAAGGAAGACGAGGGGAGATGGGGGAGGGCGAGGAAGAGCAGGCACAAGCGCAGCGACCAGGCGCGGAACAGGAGGGGGGGGCGGCAGATGCAGCCAGCAGGCACGCAAGTGCGGACGGGGGGCGCGCGGGGGCAGTCGTTGGTGTCTTGTTTGTTTTTGTTTGTTCTCCTTCCTCCTCTTGTGATCGTTCTGTTATTGTTCACTGTTTTGCCGATCGGCGCGGGCCATCGCACCCCCCCTCCCCCCATGGAGTAGATCTTGGCTGTTGTTTGGCGCCTGTTTCGAGTAGGTGGAGTCTCCCCTCATAGGACGCACTGTCACAAGCAGTCGCACTAAGCAGAGGTCCAGAGCCAGACCCCCCCCCCTCCCCCGCCTCTTCGCTCAATGTCGAAACGCCGAAAAAGACAACGCTCACCCCTTTTCCGCATCCTCCTCGTCCTCCTCTCCCTCTTCCTCTTCTTCCTGTTCCTCTTGCTCGTCCTCCTCGTCGTCATTTCTTTTTCGGACCCACTTTGCGCCCTCCCTAGAGGCCTCATGGGGATTCTTGTGGCCGTCCTCTAGGGTCGCCTTGAGGCTCTTGGGCCGTCTTGGGGACCTCTTCGGTAAATTTAGTGCCCTCTTGGTTTCCTGGTGGGGGCCTAGTGGATTGTCTTGGGTCCGAAAGGAGGCACCTTGGGCCGTGTTGGGTTTTGGGAAGCCTAGAACGGCGAGACCGCGAACATCGGTCGAAGGCCCGAGGACAATGAATGAGTTCTGGGGTCTTCTAGGGATCATCTGTGGGCCTTCTTGGGCCGTCTTGAAGGCCTCTCTGGCAGTCTTGGAACCATATTGGGGCGTACTGGAGAGACATGAACAAAAGCACACACGGAAGACAGCACAAAGCCCACAAGGCAGCAGTCCAGCAGGAAATGTCGCAGCCCTGCGGCCCGAAGGGGGCCACAGCGGAGTGTTTCGAGCAGTTCAGGCGTGGGGCAGACTGCGGGGCGCGGCGCGCCGAGCAGAGTTGCACCGTGTGGCGGACATGGCTCGCTACCTCCATTTGCAGTTCGGCGGTGGTTATGCTCGGGCCGAGCGAACGGGGGGGACAGGGAAAGGGAGGAAGACGAAATCTGCTGCAGCTCCACCGAGGGGCTCATTCCTCGATAACACGGGCGCCTCCCGGCGCCGGGAGGCGCCGGGAAGATCAGCTACGTGAGCTGATTCTCCCCCCCCCCCCATGCTATCCCCCCCGTTTCGCCCGGCCCGATATGCCTAAGAACTCTTGGGCTCATGGTTGGTCGCAGCGGCGCTCGTGCAAGCAGGGGTGTCCCCATGCGGCGACGTTTTTTCAGAAGCAGGGTGTTGCCTTTTCTGCATGCCCATGCCTCGAGACACGCGTCATACACGTATCCTCGAGGAGATTTGCTCGTGCGCGAGGCGATGGGCGCAGAGGAGGGCTACCCAGAAGGCCCCGAGCGTGCGATGTTCGTTGTCTCCGAGCTCAAGGCCAGTGCTGCTCTGTTTGCCGCGTTTGCATTCGGGGCCCTCAACCTGCCCAGCGCGCTGACCATCTCGGAGTTCAGGATCACGAGCTCGGCCTCTTCTGTGTCTACCTCGCGTCCAGCTCCAGACTCCGACCTGCTGCAGGCGTTTGTGGTGCTTGACGTACTCACGCTTGGCTTCATGCTCATTTGTGTTGTTGTCTCACAGCTGCTTATGTACCGACTGAGCGACGGCTCGTACGGGTCCGAAGTCTATGGCACTGACGAGGAACACGACCCACGCGATTCGGCTCTGGGGAGACTTGCTACCCAGTATGGTACCGAGTTCGGCACTGCGCGCGTTGCATTCGACTTTGGCGTCGTCACGATTTTGCTTGCTACACTTGTTAGGACATGGACCGTATTTGGCAGTACGATAGCACTCCCGGTCACAGGAGTCATTGGCATGTCAGCCGTCATAGTTGGAGTCTTCTATGCGCGCGTGGGCAACATATCTGAAGGGCTGCGACCTTTGCTTGAGGCCTCACAGGCCTGGCACCCTTGGGTCCACCTTGGGGCTTTCTCGCAGGGGATTCGATGGACCTTCTCGGCGTTCATGGAGGATATGTTAGTGCATCTGCGCGACATCTTGATATATTCCCGACATCTTAGGCAATGGTGGGGCCTCCTGTTTCTGGGCATTTGGGGACCTCGATGGGCCATCATGTGCGATTTGGGCCAGCCTGTTTGGGCGACACCGGATCGAGCTTGGAGCCTCTGTGCAAGCGGGGCCCGCCTGGGAGGTTGAGCCGTCTTGACCTCTTTGGGACCTATCCGCCTATCCGGCCTGCGTTGCGTTCCAGTGGGTGCTCGGGGCGCGCTTGGGAGGCAATCGGGGCACAAACCAGTTCCCCATTCTTGTTAGGCGCCGCGCCACCCCTAGTGGACAGCAGAAACGAAACATGAGGCTGGACAATGGACCAGCAGCAAACAGTCCAGTTTTGGACATCACGGCCCTGCAAGCCCACAAGGGGCTTCGTGGATTCCGTCGCGTGGACCGAACTATCGATGATGATTGGGCCACGGCTGGGGCTGCCGCGGTCACGGTGGCTGGCGCCGGCCTTCTGTTCGCTAGCGTTGGTCTGAACTTGAAGCCTGAATTGATGAGCGAGTCCCTCGAGGGGACTACGGAGAGGGCGTTTCAGAGGGTGGTGGGGGCAATGAAAAAGGCGGCAGCAGAGAAGCAAGCAGCAGAGCGGGTCGCCGAGGGTTTTGCCGCAGCGGCGGAGAACGCCAGGGCAAAGGCAGTGGCGGAGGCGGAGGCCGCAGAGAACGCCTCGCTAGAGATGCTGTCGGCAGAGAGGGTGGCTTTGGAGAAGGCAGCAGCGGAGGCCAACACCACAAAAGAAGTGACGGCGGCGAAGGCGGTAGTAAAGGAGGCAGAAGCGAAAATCCACGTGGCCTTCGCCTCACCCCACCACCATGCCTGGGTTCGTGGACCAGAGGCCTCTTTGGTACATGTTCGGACCGCTTGGGATACCTCTCGCGGGTCTCTTGGAGGCAGTTTGAAGTTTCTCGGGTGTTTATTTGGAGCCCTGTTTTAGCCTCCTCGGGGCCTCTTGGGGCCTGCTGGCGGTCTCAGGAGTCATCTTTGGGTCGTGGGCTCGAAGTATCAGGTCGTGATTCCCCTCGGGGGTCTCTCTTGGGGCCCCCTTGGGGGCCTCTTGGGTCGTCTTTGGGCCCTCTTGGCCATCCTTGGGATGGCATCGGGGACCTGCTACAATGTATTGGAGTGTCGGAAGCCCGCAACGCTGATAACGGTACAATCTTTGGAACACCAATGAAACATCAATCATGTGTGCTTATCGGGGCCCTCTTGGGCAGCCTCTTGGGGCGTAATTGGGGCCATCTTGGGCCGTCTTGAGATCATCTCTTGGGCGTCTGGTAGCGCTCGTGGGACGTCTCGGAGCCCTTTTGGACCGCCCCAGGGGCTCGTGAGGGCCTCTGGTCTCAGGAGAAGTCACGCGGCAACCCCCGAGAGGTCTGCGGAACATCCCAAGAGTGCCGGGCAGCGCCGGGATTTTGGGGTCGCGAGTCCGTCTGGAAGACCACGATCGCAAGTCAGCGCAGAGTTTGAAGGGTTTTGAGAACACTCCAACCCGTTCTTCGAGGCGCGGTGGCGGATTTACGATGCAGCAGATCTGGCAGCGAAGAGGGCGACGGAGGCGGAGGCGGCGGCTGAAGTGGCGGCGGCAGAGAGATCTGCAGCCACAAGGGCGGCTAGTGAGAAGGTGCTGGCAGAACAAGTAGCGGTCGAGAAGGCCTCTGCAGCGGACGAGGCGGCAAAGAAGGCATTCCAGGAGAAGTCTGCAGCAGCCAGAGCTGCAGCAGACAACGTGGCGGCGGAGAGGTTCGCGGCGGAGAAGGCGGCGAAGGTGGTGCCCGATGGATTTCAATCTGTGCTGGAAAAGGTGGACAAGGGCACCGCAGCGAGGTTGGCGGCGGAAAGGTTTTTGGCAGCCGAGCGCGCGGCAAAGCGAGCGGCGGAAGCGGGAGCTGAGGCCCTGGAGGCGGAGAGGGTAAAGGCAGCGGCGGAGAAGGCAGCAGCAGAGGGGGTGGCTGCTGAGAGGGTCGCAGCGAGGAAGGCGGCGGCAGCCGATGCAGCTGCAAGACAGGCGGCGGCGGAGAGGGCTGCTGCGGACGGGGCGGTCGCCGAGAGGCAGTTGGCACTTGAGAGGGCAGCGAGCAGGGAGGCGGAGGCCGAGGCGGCAGCCAAGGCAGCAGCGGCAAACAGGATTGTGGCAGCGCGGGAGGCGGCGGAGAAGGCAACTCTGGAGGGCGTGGCTGCGCAGAGGGCGGCCGCGGCGGAGGCAGCCGCCAATACAGCAGCAGCGGCCGCAGAACAGGCCGGGAGGGCGGCGGCGGAGGCCGCGGAGGCTGAGAAGTCAGCGGGCGGGTTGTCGGCCGAGGCGCAGAGGTGGAGGCTGAGGGGCTAAGCTTCGAGTTGAAGCTGTGACCTCCGCGCGCCTGCATGCGAGGCGTCTGGCAGATCTGCGGCAGGCTTTTCACTGCCGTTCGATAAATGGATGGGAGAATCTTGCCGAAGGAGACGGACGACGACGGCAAGAATTGCAAGGTTCGCGCGTGAGAGACTGGTGTGGTCCGAGATGCCTATCTGTAGTGACCAAGCGCGGTGTCGTGGTCACGGGCGGTTGCCACCTCCCGGATTGCTCCCCAAGCCTTTTGCCCACCCTGTCTGTGACGACGGCGTGCGTTGTTATTGTTCATCCCCCTGCGTAGCCGACTTGGCGTAACAAGTTTGAGTTCAGGGCCGCCTGCTTGCTCCAGCCGCCATGTGGCATGCCGTTGGCCTAGCTGCCAGCAAAGCCTGTCCGGCGTCGGGGGAATAATCTGTCATGGAGCAGCTCCAGAAATGCGATGACGATGACGATGACGATGACGACGACGAAGACGATGACGATGACGACGACGACGCCGATGACGATGTCATCGTCATCTTTGTCGTTCTACGCGAGCCATCGTCATTTTAGGTAGTCGCTGGGCAAGTTCCAATGTGTGATTGGAGTGCCATCCCGCTGGTCTCGGGGCCGTACGGGGCGCGGCGACGCTGCCAGAGTCTCGAGAACATGCTCCGCGGAGCTAACTCGGCGGCGTTTGGGCGGCGCTTCGGCCTTGGGTGGGGGCGCCCTGGGGCGGTCTAGAACCATCCCGGGCCTGCCTTGGGGCTCTCGGGGTATTGGGGACATCTTGGAGACGTTCAGTATTCTTTGGGCCATCTTTTACGGGCGCAGCCCTTATTTTGATTTTCGATAGGGGGCCCAAGTGAATGACTTGACTTGAACTGAATTGAACGGCCAGGGCCATTAGATGACAGTTTGTATCTACGGCGGGTATATGCCGTTGGCATTTTAGGCCAGGTGGTGAGGTTCGCTGGCACGTTTGTGCCAGGGAGGCGAGAGTAATCCGCTGACAGGTTTTGGGGGTCGACTGCGCAAACATGCGCGCTTCAGCTTCCCGCGTAAGGGCTGGGCGCACAAGCGCCCTCTTTGGCACGGCCTGCCGCGCAAGCGGCACACCATGGTAAGGGAGGACGGAGAAGGGAGGAGGCAGGGAAGGACGGGAAAAGGGAGGACGCAGAAGGAAAGGACGGAGAAGGGAGAAGAGCAGAGCAGGGGACACAGCAGGGGACAGGGCGACGAGGGGCGGAGGGTGGCGCGCGCACGCGCGAGGGCCGCTGCGCCTCCGGCCGCCCGCGCTTGCGCGAGTGGGCCGGCCCCGAGCGCGTGCGCGGCGGCGCGCCCGCGCCCGCGGCGGCGATGGCCTCGGCCGCGCGCGGCGCGCACCAGGGCCTCCTGGGCGCGAGGCCCTTCCCGGGCAGCGGGCGGGCGGAGGCGAGCTCCGCGGAGCCCGGCGGCGACGGCGCGCCCGAGATCGAGGTGTCGCCGGAGGAGGAGGAGGCGGCGCCGGAGGAGAGCGGCGCGCCAGAGGAGGGCGCCGGCTTCGAGGGCGAGGAGCTGCTGGAGGGCGAGGAGGCGCTGGAGGACGACGTGCTCGAGGAAGACATGCTCGAGGGCCCGAGAGCGACGGCGAGCTCGAGGGCCCCAGTGGACGAGGCTCAGGCCGAGCTGGATCGGCTGCAGCGGGAGTTGCAGGAGCAGGAGGCGGAGCACAGCCCTGGCGGCGGGCAAAGGGGGGGCATGGCGACCTGGGGGGGGGGGGGAGCTTCTGAGAAGGTAGGGGGTTTGTTCTTTTGGAGCAACGCCGGCTCTGCACCTCACCGATCCTGGCCAGGTCGATCCTGGGCGCAGGGTCGGTGTGAATATGTATGTACATGTACGTGTACATCGATATGTACCTACACATGTGAATATATGTATATTAAAATCTTATTTCTATATGGACATACATGTATTATTACATGTGTATGCGTGTATACATGTCTGGGGCGTGCAGGTGTGTCTGTGGCGGTTCTGGCTCTGGCGCAACATTTTCGAGAACAACATTTCAAGCAAAGCGTTTCGAGAGGTAAGTCTGTCTCCTTCGCGCGTTTGGTCTTCGACAACGCAATATCCGGATTTCTCTTACGATTTTGCGGTTTCGGTCGATCGTCTTGTCACGGATCATCCAGGCATCGGACTCGTTCTGTTTGATGTTTGTGCGTGTGGAAAACATGTACCGATGCATGTATGAACATAGATGTATGTGTAAGCATGTTTTTTACGTACATGTACATCTGCATGTCTATAATATTATGTGTGTATATGTTTACGCATGTATCTGTTTACATGTGGGTTCAGTGCTAGCGCGTAGATGATCGTTTGCTCAGTTGAACGCCGTCCATCGCAATACTTGCTTAGGGCTTTCTGGCGGGATTTCTTTCCATGGGGGGTCAAACTGCTCTCATCGAACATCTTCAGACCGCAGCGAATCGCGGCCTGGAGCCGGTGGCGCTGCGCCAGTCCCTGCTCTCCGCGGTGCCCGCGTGCCCCTCTGTCTTGCTGGACTGCCCTCCCGCGAACGTCACCTGTCCGCCGCTGGCCCGTCCCGCGGTCACCTGCCCCTCGCCAGCGTGCCCCGCGCCGCTGAGGAACCTCTCCTGCTCCCACCGTGCGTGCGGGGCAGGGCGGGTCCGCGAGGGGCTGCACGCTCCTTCGGTC